TAGATTAGTCTCTGTCTCTTCTCCAAGCTCCAGCTCTATCTCCGTCTCTTCTCCAACTCTATCTTTATCTCTGTTATCTCCATCTCTTCTCCAGCTTAGTCTCTGACTCTCTGTCTCTTTTCCAACTCAATCTCCATCTCTTCTCTAGCTCTATCTCTATCTCTTCTATAGACTTTTGAGATTGAAGAGTTGTAATTATAATAATAGATATTTAAGTGTTGTATTTTATTACTGTTAGACTTTTGAGTGGTTTGATTTAGTTAAATATTTTTATAATTAACATCTTTTTATTTAAATTATATTATTTTAATCATGATCAGTTTATCACCGATTCAACCCTCAATTTAATACTAATTGAATCACTAACTCATAATTTAGTCTCATGATCGATTCGATTCGATTTTAAGTATCTTTCTTAATATAGTTTTGGTTGGACGCCTGCAATTGCGCTGCTTTTCTAAAAAATAAAATAATATCCCAACAACTTCGACTCCTTATATCGTCAAACGTGCATCCTCTCTCCCTCTCGCAGCAGTTGCTTCCCCAATTCCAATGTCAATAATATCTATCGAATTAAAAAAGTAAAACGTGCGAAAGCCGCTTTCAGGTCCAATCAACACAAGCTGTTGGCTTCTTTTCGGCTCCTTATATGGTCAAATATTTCATCCAGTTGCCCATCTGTGCATGTAGTTTAGCATATCCGGCCTCCAACTTGGCATCATCCCTTCACATGAAGTGCCCTTCATTCATCTCCTCCATTGTCATCCATATATCTCTATATCCTTCATTTCATGCACCCGTGACCTTTTACGGTTGTACAAGATTTATTGCACCAATACAGGAACCTCGCTGCTCTGCTCTCCATTTTTATCTGTCACGTCGATGATTTAGGTGCATGCATCCATGTACATATATAAGCCTGCGGTGGAGATAGATTAATTCTGACTTATGGTTCTGCACACTGTCTGACACAGGATTGTGTTTGCCGCTTGTGAGACCCCATCCACCTATCCTCGCCTTATTGTTTGATTGATTAATTAATAAATGATGAGTGATTAATGGAAAGCATGAACGTGGCGCTCTCCCAAGGGAGGTCCTCTCGCGAAGCACCGAAAGTTTGTCCTGCCCAATTAAACCCAAGGCATCCTCCACGATCTTATATTCCTGTACAAAACAATCTCTACTTTAACAATTGTTTAATCTACCGTCAAGTTAGTTTAGCATGTGCCAGCTTAATTTGAGAATGCTAGCAACAGCAATGTAAGACTCTGTGGGGCTGGCCCTCGTCTTTCGTCCGATTATGATCGGGTACTTTATTAAAGCCTGTTTCCTCATCAACTGAATGTACTCTGCATTGAGACATTTCAACAGCCAGCAATGCTTAATGATTGATTAATGCATCATCCATGAGCCAGCTGCTTTATAACACGCGTCGTCTTTCCATGTTCCTTCTTAAACTAGTCTGATTTAAGGACGCCATTCTTCCTCTGCAGCCAAGAACACCAAAACATCATTGTCTCACCATTCCAGCATGCAATTTCCCCAAAAAGGAAAACAAACACTACTACAAAAAAATTATACTTAAAGTTATTTTTATTTATATTTAATAGTTAAAAATCATCAAGTAAACTCCTATCATATATAAGGCATAATTATATTTGGTGGTTAAGGAATCATCAAATATTGTGCCATAATATTTGAATGGTTGTTACTAACCGTCATGTATATGTGCTCAAATATGGCTTAAAGGAGCAACTATGAGATATTTGATGGTTATATATCATAACCGTCAAATATTACCTTCATTTTTTTTTTAAATCAAGGGGTTGCATCTTTCATAGTCCCCTGCATTACAAGCCAGAATACATACAGTTAGAATCCAATTTAGAATACTTTTAATACATATATTCAAACTAATCGATTGAAAATATGTACAAATTAAACCCCAATATTTTCATACACAATATTTTTGAATCCTACAATAATCTAAATTGAAATTACCCCCTATGAACTTGTTGCATATTGAGCCAACAGTTGTAATGAACATTGGAACCGCTCTCGATAAGTTCATTGATATTAGCGTTCCGAAATACTTCACAATATTTATTTGGATAGTACCGCATTATAAATAAAAAAAATCAATTGATAGATTTTTAATATTGTAAAATAATTAAACTTGAATGACACACACACAAAATAAGGCAATGCACATAATCTCGGCTACTATCCTTTTGTTGGGGGCACTTTAAAAAACCAATGAAAATATATTAATAAATTAGAATAAACAAACATATAACAAAGATAATATTTAAAGGCAATACCTTAATTATGTTCCAACTATAGGCCTAATCATATTTCTTGCCTCATGAAATACCACTACTAGAAAAAACCATATTAGTGACGGCCAAATCCGTCACTAATAGCCAAAATCCGTCACTAATACAGTGATTAGTGACGGACATATGGTTACTAAGGTGGTCGCTAATATAGCATCACTAATTTTTAAGTGACGGATAGTCATCCGTCACTAATTAGTGACAGATTAATCGGTCACTAAATTAATCATATCCGTCACTAATATTTCTTAATAGTGACGGGCATATCCATCACTAAAATAAAATGTCCGTCACAAATATGTATTTATAGTGACCAAACTGGACGTCACTAAAGTTGATATATCCATCACTAATCAGTAACCAACATAGTCTGTCACTGATTAGTGACACATATAGTTCGTCACTAATTAGTGATTATAATGTTCGTCACTAATCAGTGAAGACACAGGTTGTCACTAATTTGTCACTGATTCAGTATTTTCCTATATATATACGTGCATATTATTTTCTCATTCATTATTAACAAAATTACCTATTAAAATAAAAATATTAGCAACAATCAAATATAAAAAAAGCTTTTGATATTAGATTGATATTAATATTGAAAGTCTCTCAAAACAGTCACAAGTTAAAGTAGAGACTAATCAAAAAAAGTGTCTTACAAGTACAAAATAAAGCATTTAGTTGAATAAGAACAAAGATCAATTATCTTTGTTTGCAGCTGAGGTGGATCCTATAGATGGATCAACATTTTGTGGAGTCTCCAAATAAGGATGAGACAATCCATGAGTAGCTATTAGTTGCTGTACAACCACTTGCAATTCATGCAATTCCTTTTCAAGTGCTTCCCTTTTCTTTACCTCTTCTTGTATTTTAAGTTCCATTTGTTGTATGTAGTCCTGACTAGGGGGAGGTGCATGGCTTGAAGCTTGTGAAGATGCAACACAAATATTAGTAGCCTCTGATCCAAGACCATATATTCTTCCTTTTTTGGGACCACCAACAACTTTTGTCCAAATTGACATCTCTTGCTCATTGCTCAAATTCTCCAAGGCATGGCTGTCAATAGCTCCAACATCTGACATATCATCTAGAGACTCTTTCATCTCACTTTGAAACTTATCCTGAAAATAAAATACTCTTAATGATATATTAACAAAATTCAGACATTTATTAACAAAGCACATAAAAAAATCTTGAAAATAAACTTGAGCTCATAGAAAGGAATTACATTTCTAGATCAGACCAAACAAGACCACAAATCCTCCGTTAAACTAAGCAACACAAATTGAAGCAATATATATTTATGGAGTTGGTTAGTTGAATTTAGAGTTGACATGTTTGAAATTTTCTAATACAATACTCTTACCCATATTGCTTTTGATTTCTTGTCAACAAAGGCTTCAGAATTTGATTTCTTGTGAGTCATCAAGAACACTTGAGATGGACGAGCTTCACCCCCTGTCTCTTCCTCCTACATACATGCAAATATGTCAAACAAGTAGGTTTAATTGTAAAATTTGTAAGGAACTTAGTAGAATTAATACATATTTTCTCTTATGCTCTGAAGATGTTATTGATCCTCCAGAGTGGCATGATGGGCCAAGTCCATCCTTACTGCTCAACCTATTCTTTGAATTAGTCTCAGATTTCTTTAGATACTTGGGATCTGTCCAAATTTGCTGAAGTTCCTTCCAGTTATCTTCACTCATCCAAGTAGGTGATATTCCCTTTTCCTTGAATGTCTTCTTGCATTATAAAGGACAGTTTTCAAGCAACCTCGACCAATAGACTTCTCATAAAGTCCATGTATCTCATTATCAAACCTGTCCTCCCAAATATATACTTTCTAAGATACAAAGACAAAATTGAACAAATTAGGATAAACTTGAATAACCAAGATTTTCAACTAAATAGTAATTTGCATGACTTTGAAAAGAACTTAAATAATAATAATAATAATGTTTACCTTGAACTCTCCAAACCAACGTTGCTTAACCTCAAATGGTGTTTTATCCCAAGTAATCCATGGTCCTCCAAAAAACTTCTTTATTATACATGACAATATACGCACAGCATTATGAGGATGATACCTATGAAATGAACAAAATTTAGATTTAATATCAAAATAATAAAGAAACAGATACTAGAAAAACTTATCAATTTTATTTATACGATGTATTATTTGGTTCTAAGTATATGCGCCCATCTGCAGACTTTCGATATGAGACTTTATTTTTTTGTCTATTTGACTTGATTTGTTGAGTCTCATTGGAAGTGGATATATCATTTTCAATATGTGTCTCATTTTCAGTATTAGCCTCTTGTTGAATTGCATGATCAGTTGGTGGTTCCTCAATGGATGCTTCCTCCATAGGTGCATGTTGTACAATGGGTTCTTGCTCTGTGGATGCATTCTCTATAGGTGCTTGCTCTATGTCAGTACCACCTCTAACATTTTGCTGATGAATGCTTACACTTCTTGATACTCCAAATGATCTATGTTTTGCTTTACCCCTTGGCATCCCTGTAACATTTATAGATAGAAAAATTTCAAAATGAAGAAAAATAATACTAATAAGCAAGTTAAAATTATAATAACAATAATTCAATAAAAATGTCATAATGATCAAATGCAATAAAATAATGCTAACATTTACAAACCTAAGCTTCATCTTCCTTTTCAGTATTTGATTCATCACTTTCAATACTATCACTCTCACTAAGTTCATCTTCCTCTTCAGTTTGAAATTCCTCATTTTCAAGCTCATCTTCCTCATCTAACTTTTCTAGTTCATCAACATCATTTGTTTCATACTGTAATCTCATCTCATTTTCTTGTATTTCAAGTTCTTCAGCTACCCCTTCACAAAGATTATTAATTGCATCCATGCTTGTGTCATATGGCAATCCCATATCATCTTCTTGGAAGGCTACTTCTGGTGCATTTATCATACTCCTTGCTTTTATTTTACAAACAGCCCACCAATCAGCCCTCTCCCTCTTCTTACTAGCATATTCTCCAAAATAAACTTGTTGAGCTTGTTGAGCAAGTGCAAATGGTTCATACTTTGAAAATCGTTTTCTCTTATTGATCTCAACTAGGCCATAACGACTATGAACCTTGCACCCCCTATTTAATTGGGGATCAAACCAATCACACTTAAACAATACCGCTCTAGTTTTCTTAGAGGTTGGATTAGAATATTGCAATTCTATCACTTCTTCCAACAAACCATAATAGTCATATTCAAACTCATTATAATTTGTTCCCTTAATGCACAATCCACAGTTCATGGTAGATTTTGATGAGTTGTAAGCACGTGTGTGAAACCGATATCCATTGACAAAATATTGAGACCATGTATGTACTTCTCTAGATGGCCCAAAAGCTAGATCCTTTATACGAACATCATCTACATTGTTATTTGGGTCAAAAACCTAAGCATAATAAAACTTGTCAATAAGCATATCACACAAACTAAAAAGGCATGTATTAAAATATATATGTTCATGATACTTACATATTCTTTCAACCACTTTGCAAATTCACTATCTATCTTAGTCTCTACATCCTCATTGGTTGCATTAGGTATTCTTTTCCTAAGTTGTTCTTCAAATATTCTACAAGATGGCAATGATTACCAACATTAGTAAAGCAAATTGTCATTTAAAAAATGCATAAATATCTTAAAGTGATTGAATTTACCTAAGAAATGGTTGGATTTCCTCACAATTAAGCAGAACATATATAGAAGCTGCATTAAATTCATCATTTGTCAAAAATCGTGTTTTTCCTTTTCCTGCTGTGCGACCAGGATGTCTGAATATAGAAAGGCATCCATCTGGGCAGTCAACCTCACTATGATCATCATTTCGATCAATTTTGTTTAGTTTTGTTTGAACATGAGGTTCAAAGTAATGAGCACAGAATGTAGATGTTTCTTCTACAAGGTATGCTTCAGAAATTGACCCTTCTACGTGAGCTTTATTTTTAACTTTTTTCTTCAAATGATGCAAAAACCTACACAATAATTTTTCTATTAAGTATTCATTTATATAATAAGTAAATTTAATCACAAAATATATTTTATAATTTACCTTTCAAATGGATACATCCATCGATACTGAACGGGTCCACCAACTCTTGCTTCATAAGGTAAGTGAATAGGCAAATGTTCCATGGAGTCAAAGAAGGCTGGAGGAAAGAACTTTTCTAACTTGCAAATAGTTACAATAATATTTTCTTCAAGCTTTTGCATTTGCTCCACTGTTATAATTGTTGAGCATATGTCTTTAAAGAATAGACTTATTTCTGTTAAGGCATTCCAAATAGCCTCAGGTAATAAATCTTTAAAGGCAATTGGGAGCAATCTTTGTAAAAATACATGACAATCATGACTTTTCATCCCTAACAATTTACAATTTTCCATGTCAACACATTTAGACAAATTTGAAGCATGTCCATCAGGAAGTCTTAAATTTTTAATCCATTCACATACCAACTTCCTTTGTTGCTTTGTCAAAGTGTATGTTGCTTTTGGCTTCATTGTCTTTCCAACACTCTTAAACAATGCCAATTCTGGTCGGTTACAATAAGTAGACAAGTCCTCTCTAGCCTTTTCATTGTCCTTCGTCTTACCTTTAACATCCATAACAGTATTGAATATATTATCAAATACATTCTTCTCAATATGCATAACATCAAGATTATGGCGAATCAAGTTGGTATTCCAATAAGGCAAATCCCAAAATATAGAACGTTTAGTCCAATTATGTTGACTGCCAAACCCAGGCAACTTGTAAGTTCCATTTTTCTCCATCATTCTTGGCAAGCAACAAACTTTTTCCCATAAGTCATCACTAGAAAATCTTTGAGGGATAGGAGATTTCTCATCACACCCTTTATAAAATGACTTTTTATCTCGACGAAAAGGATGTTGTAGTGGCAAAAATTGACGATGACAATTAAAAAATGTCACCTTTTTTCCTTTTTCCAAGAAGAATGATTTACTGTACTCCATACAAATTGGGCATGACAAAATTCCATGCGTACTCCATCCCGATAACATGCCATAAGCAGGGAAGTCATTAATAGTCCATAATAGTGAAGCTCTCATATAAAAATTTTGCTTCTTATATGAGTCATAGGTTAAAGCACCAACCTCCCACAATTCTTTCAACTCATCAATTAAAGGTTGCAAGTACACATCAATTTTTTGCCCAGGGCTCTTTGGGCCAGGAATTATAAGAGTAAGAAACATATATGGGGTTTTCATGCACATCCCAGGGGGCAAATTATATGGTGTAACAATTACAGGCCAACATGAATATGGATGTGCAGATTGCCCAAATGGAGTAAACCCATCTGATGATAAGCCTAACCTAACATTTCGAGGTTCTAAAGCAAAAGAGGGATAACATTGATCAAAATGTTTCCATGCCTCGCCATCACAAGGATGACACATGACCCCTGGCTCTCGCCTTGTTTTATGATGCCATACCATGTGCTCTGCTGTTTTGGAAGACATATAAAGCCTTTGTAATCTTGGAGTCAATGGGAAATAACGCAGCACCTTGTACGGTATGTCTTTATTACTTCCATTATCTCTTTTTCTAGATTTAAAGCGATCATGGCCACACACCAAACATTCCCTCCTTTCCTTGTTCTCCTTATAGTACAGCATACAACCATTTCGACACACATCTATTTTCTCATACTTCAAACCAAGTTGTCCTACCATTTGTTTAGTCTTGTAATAGTCTTTAGGCAATTTTTCATCATTTGGCAACAATTCTTTTACCCATTGTAAAATACAATTATAGCAATTCTCACTCAAGTTAAACTCAGATTTGATATTTAACAATCTAGATATTGCTGATAATGGAGTGTGCCTACTACACCCTTCATACAGTGGCTCTTTAGCAGTTTCCAACATCTCATAAAATTTTTGAGCATTATGGCTTGGAGGATCATCTAACTCTATATTAGTATTAGGATTGACACTAGGACCAACAGCATCTAAAATCATGGTATAATATGGGTTTTCTAAGATAACATCATCCCTTGTTTCATTAGCACCTTCAACTCTTTCTTCAATATCTCTAGCAACCTCATAATCAACATCATCATAATGTAAAGGTTCCCCGTGATAACTCCATGGGTCATAATTAGGGACAAAACCATGACGATAAAGGTGAACCTTGACGATTTCATACTCTAAAAATTTCTTATTGTCACATTTTGAACACGGACACCTTATTTGGCCATTTGAGACTAGATTTGGTTGAGAAAGAACAAATGCCACAAATTGTTCTACACCATCTATAAACTTTTTGTTGAGTCCTTTTCCACTTTCGTCACGCCGACTATACATCCACATTCGATCATCCCTCATAGTCTTCTACATGATACCATGTAATTATTTAAGACAAAATAACTAATTAACATAACTAATTCAAGAAATAAGGTTTACTAAGTCTAAAACCAGTAAAGAGTTTAATATAGTTAAAAAAATAACACTCCTGGGATGACAATCAAATGGCCTAGCATCCAAAAACCATTAAATTGTAATCTACCAAGGAGCTCTAAAAATAATGGAAATTTTGCACATCAAATAGCACACATGTAGAACTATGAATATGAAATTTCATGGCAAAAATGTATGATCAAACGACCTTTTTTAAAACATTGAAAAACTGCTTGCATGTATAATTTGGTAACTTAATTAATTAGGCTTACTTGATAATGATAATGAAGTTATGCAAAGCTGCAAGATTTGTACCAATGTACTTCAAAGGACTGCATAAAAGAAAAGAACAAAGAAAGAAAGAAATCAAGTTAAAAGCATATGGTGAATATAATTAATCAAAAAAGAAAAAGCTATGATTAAGTGGACATGAATATAATATAATTAGAAGCATATAATTAATTTTTAGCTGCAGCAAGGAGGACAAAAAGCTTGACAGTTAATTGTTCATTTTAGTATTACATAAATTTAAAGACAAGAATACTATAAGCCAAAACACACTTTTTGGTTTTAACCCCATCTCACTTGATTGTTTCTTCTCCATCCCTGATGGTCACTAGCTAGAGCTAAGCATTACAATCAATGGGAATGAAAAAGTAAGAAAATGAGAAAGGTAAAAAACAGAGAAATAAAAGCATGATAAAGATATTACCTCAGCTTTGAAAGAAGAAAAAAGAGTTGTTAGCCTTTCAATTGCAGATTCAATGCATAACCTTCACCTTGGAATACATATAAATTAATATACAAATCATTAAAAATAAAATTTCCATTGTTGAACTGACCCTGCAATTGACTACCAGAGCATATAATTAAATTTCAATAAATCCCACACCACAAAACAAAAGACTCCAAAACTAAGCACCATAAAAATATTATTAAACAAAACAAGTTGATGTGGTTTCATTCCAAAGTAAGCTAAGAAAAGTCAAAATCCCCTTTTCCTTGGTCGCTTTATTATATTGGTCCATTCAAGTTATTGAATAAATTTGGGTCTCCCGAAGTAAAGCTAAAACTTTTTAGGAAAAGGGAATAAAGTTCATTGTAGTGTTTGGCAACCTATTAAATAATCTCATTATCCCTTCCCATAGTCTCGAAAGAGGAGTCCTAACACTAATAGAATCTATTCTTCAGGCATATTCAACAACTGAGAATACGAAAATCATAATGAGAGCAAGAATACAGACAAAAGCAAAGTGGCAGGGGAAAAGGCTGTGAATTTTTTTTTCAAACCTAGACTATTTAAGAAAGCCCTTTTTCAAACCTACTCTCATGTTGAATCAAGAGAAATGTTTATTGTGCTCAAAGGGGTCAAAGGCAAAGCGTACTTGAGTGAGGCGAGAAAGAGAAATTGTTGTGCGCCTGATTTCTTCGAGCATCAGTAGCAGAGCACTGGAGATGAACGGCGGGAGCAGAGCGCGAGTTTAGTGATAATAGAATTGCAAAGGAGGGAAGGGTTTTAGTTTTAGGGTCTGATGGTGACTCTGAAATTATATTAATTTTCATGTTCAATTTTTTATTATATTATATTAGTAAAATTAACCTAATATTTTACCCATCTAAATGCATCTAAAAAGTAATCATAATTGGTATAAAATATTTATAACATTTAAAAGAAAATTTTTATCAATTATTAATAAATCATTTTAACATAAATATATTTTTATTTCCTATTTTTAACATTAATATCTTTATTAATAATATATTTTTATTTTAACAATACAATTAAATTAATTATCTATTTTATATTAACATAAATAATTAATTGTTATTATACTTTCACACTTAGTGACGGATATCCATAGGTCACTATTTATTAGTCACTAATTTTGTGATTGTTTTGTAAAATTGTGACAACTTTGAGCATCTGTCACAATTCAGTGACCGATAATTAGTGACCAAATTATATCCGTCACAAATTATAAACTTTTAAAAGAAATGTGACTGATATTATCATCCATCACTAATCTGTCACTAATCACTATAATTAGTGACGGATATAAAGTTGTCACTAATTATCCGTCACTAATATGATTTTTTCTAATAGTGTACTAAGTTATATCTAGGTGCAATACAACATCACAGTCTTAATAAACAAACAAAAAATATATAAGCTAATTAAGAAGCTTGCATATTAAACATCTCCATCATGTCTTGCTAATTACTTGGTAGTCAACTAGCATAATCCAAATAGCAAAACCTTAGGCATGTACCAACTGGCTGGATAGCACTTAATATCTAATGACTGTTGAGATAATTTAGAAATATTATAAAATGAAATTCTTGAAGTGAAATTAATTCAACAACTTCAAGTAATTAATTCTCACCCTTGCATGTAAGGTGTCAAAAATAACAATTCTTTTAAAGGGTGAGTCTCAAAATACTTGGACAAAGCAATTGATTGAGCTTCACAACTCTCAATAGATTAGTCGTGATGAGTAGGGATGTCATAAGAACATATAAAGATAAACTTTGAGGCAAGGTTGGCAAGGACAATGAAATTTTCATGAAGGTGCCTAAATAAAGAAATTAAATATGCCAATATATTTGTTATAAAATAAAAAATTAGTCATGCAAAAAATAAGTATCTTAAATGAAAGTGAACGATGGTTTGGATAATCTCCTCGTGCTTAAGAACTTCATCAATCACTTTGATTCTGAGCATATCTCCTTGATCTTTATTGTACATGCCATGATCAAATGGAACCCATATCATAGGATTTTTAATCCTAAACACAAGGGCATACGCTTCAAGTGTATCTTGCCATCTCATTGACAATTAAGACACACTTGTTAAGGGTAGTCTAGCAACCTTGGATTCATGTGCTGAGTTTTTAGGGTGGTCTTGTCTCTTGAACTATGAACTAGTAGTGTTAGTTACGGATGAAAAGAAATTATGTATATACTTTATATGAGATAATGCCAACTATGATACCTTTTTTGTCTTTTTTTTGTGTCTACCAACAATATGAGATTCCTAAGCCCTACAACAAATGAGTCTACCACTTCTCCTACAGTCACTACATCAATTGTGGGTAAAGGCAACAGATAGTTGGCATAAAGAGGTTTGTTGATTAATCCTCACACGTGGTCTACAGGCATTAGCACACTATGTGTAGTAGCCTCTCCCAAGACATTATACACTTTCCCTATTGTAACCTTTCGTTAATTTGAGCTGTTTGCTAAGAAAAATCAGTCAAACTTGCCCTAAACGTGTAAATTCATTAGGTCAAAAAATAATTGTGAATTAAAGTTAATATACACAAAAATACAAACTACTTAAAACCATATGAGTCATAAGCCACCATGTAACAGTCACACCCCCCCGAGCCCACTGCTGCGAGTGGTGGACTGGGCCGTGCCACCTCACGGCAACCACCAGCCGGCTTTCCCCCTAGTAGTTCAGGGGTTATTCCCCGCACCCACTGCGCTAAGGGAGCCTTCCCAGGTTCGATCCCGCAACCTCTCCTACATAGCGAAATTGGGGCTGAACCTGGTACCATTGAGTCAACTTTTATGTAACAGTCACACCCCCCCGAGCCCACTGCTGCGAGTGGTGGACTGGGCCGTGCCACCTCACGGCAACCACCAGCCGGCTTTCCCCCTGGTAGTTCAGGGGTTATTCCCCGCACCCACTGCGCTAAGGGAGCCTTCCCAGGTTCGATCCCGCAACCTCTCCTACATAGCGAAGTTGGGGCTGAACCTGGTACCATTGAGTCAAACTCAATGGTACCAGGTTCAGCCCCAACTTCGCTATGTAGGAGAGGTTGCGGGATCGAACCTGGGAAGGCTCCCTTAGCGCAGTGGGTGCGGGGAATAACCCCTGAACTACCAGGGGGAAAGCCGGCTGGTGGTTGCCGTGAGGTGGCACGGCCCAGTCCACCACTCGCAGCAGTGGGCTCGAGGGGGTGTGACTGTTACACACCACATGCAACATAATCCCCTTTTTAAGCTAAATTAAAATAAATACTTGCAATTGTACTTAATTTCCTAAGAAAATAAGCATATATTGCAAGTATTAGATGAAAATTAAGCAGTATAACCATTTAAAAATGAGACTCTCTCAGGCATATGCCCTCTATTTATACTTAATCCCATCCTTATTTAATCTAATAAACATAATTATTCAACCAAAATCAATCATGACAATTTAAAGCTATGTTAAATTTAATTACTTTTAAATAGAAATCCAATAACATAACAGCTTAAAAATTTAATTTTTTTAGGCATTTTGCCACCATTTCACAATAAATTTTGGCCCTTTACAATTCAATCTAACCTAATTCAACTCTACTCAGTCATAACAATAACAACAAAATTCATGATACAGTAAAATAAAACATAAATTAATCAAACAAAATATAATTCAAAAAACTGCTTGAAATTTGCCTAAAAATAAATCACTAATAAAACTAACAAACTAATCATACATTGTTGGTCCAATAGGCATTTTAAAGTAACCCATAATAACAATTCAAATTAATCCCAGAAAGTAGACTCAAATTAATTTCATAATTTTCTTTAATTTTTCAAAATTATTATGCATTTGTAAATTCGAGTAGTGGAGAGTGAGAAAGGAAGAGGAAGGTGAAAGAAGCATGCTTATCTAAATTTGAGAAGTCCCAATAACTTCAACGAATAGTTTGACACTGATGGAGGACATGAAATTGAAAAAGACGATGGAGGACGAAGACAACATTTGAGAGCAAACAGGGTATGCCTAAAACGAAGGGGATGGGCTGAAATCAAGCTAGGAAAGATGAAATCAACGTGGGTACGCTTGACCCTCATTGAATTGTAGAGAGAAAAACAGAGAAGAAAGACGACGAACAAAATGACGAGTGAGTTCAAGGAAGGAAAAGGGGTGGATT